CCTTTCACCTTCTTGAAGGTCAGCCCGATAGCAAAGGCACCCTGGGGGGCATAGGGGTGCGTGCAGCTGTGCGCTCACGTACAGCCGGGAATGTGGAAAACAAGGCGTGTGTGTCTTGGATTCAGCCGCAGGACGGCGGGAGTGGAGGGTGGGGGGGTTCTGAAACTCTGGGTCACTTTCTCGAACCTACTGGAGGGCCGACCCGGGGAGGGCGCGGGGATGAAGGCGGAGATGGGCGCCTCCTGGGTGCTGGGACCCGCGCGACTTCGTGTCCCCATGCAGGGTGCACTGCTCAGGGACTGTCCCGGGGCTCCTGGCCCTGCCGCGGGAGGACACTTGGAGCCGGCTTCGGGCCGCCCAGCTCGCCAGGCCGTACCTCGACGCGGCGGGCTGCTGGGCGCGGGGACCGAGCTCCCGACTTGAGCCGCGGAGGGGCGGCGCCCGGAGGGTACTGCGAGCCCAGGGCAGGCAGCGCAGACTTCGCAGGAGGCGGGGAAAGCGGGACTCCAACCCCAGCCCCCGGCAGCCCGTGGTGACAAGGGCGACGCCTGGTGTGGGCGGGACAGGCCAGCTCGCACTCCTTATTGGACAAATGCCCCTGTCCATCACTGAGGAAATGCGACCGGACATCCAGGACTTCCCCACCTCGAGGGAAGGCGGGCTCTGAGGAGATGGGCGGATGCGCTACCCAATAGCAGTCGAGCTCTTTGCCTGCGCGAGAGATTGGCAGATGCTCTAACCACGGAGACGTCGCGGAGGTTACTGGCTGTGCCGGTGATTGGTGGGCGGCGCTTGGGTGTTCAAGCGCGGGGTGCTTCATAGTCTGGAAAACGGGCTTCCAATGAACACGCGGGTGGGGAGGATGCTGCGGCGAGTTTTTCGTCTTGAGTTAGGCTCGAGGCTTTCACGGAGGCTCCTGAGTTTGGCTTTTCCTGGAATTAACCCAGATTTTCCGGGCCCCTTACTAAAGCCCCCACCCCCGGTGCAGGAGCAGGGCCGGACGAAGACGGGCGCTGCGCCCGCAGGGGCCTCGTGCGTGATCCTGGGTTAAGGCGAAGATCCAGTGGACGAGATTCCATGGAAAACAGGAACAAGGAGAACGGAAGATTGCGGGGTGGGTGGGGGGGTTGTTAGGAGCCCCTGGAAATTTGAATGGATGCTCAGCCTTCCTCATAAGAGAAAGACGCGAGTGAAAACTCCCCCGTCAGCTGGCGGGAGTCCAGACTCCGACGAAGTATTGCCTCGAGCTGGTGCAGAAACGGGCTCTCTCGAGTCGCGGGCGGGCTGCGAACTGGCCCAAGGCCCGAGGGTGGGGGTCTAGGAAGTGTCACGTGTTCATGCACCTTGGATCCAGCCACCCATTTGGGGGGATCTGGTCTGAAAATGCGCTTCTGCAAACAGGGAACTCCGAATGCACGGTTTTAGCTACAGCGCCGTTGTTTGAATTCGCCAAAGGTGGGAAACTGCACGAATGGCCATCAGCAGGGGAGTGTTTGAAGAGGCTGCGGGACAGCCGCCCCAGGGAGCATTCTACAGACTTAAAGAGAAGGAGGGAGCCAGTGGTTCTTTCTGTGGAGTGAGCTCCGGAGACGGATACAGGCCGCTCCCTGGAGCAAAAAGATGCTGCAAGGACAAAACCAACACTAATAAAAATGGTTGCAGTTAAGGGATAGAGGTGGTGGGGGTGCATCTGGTGGGAGACTTAGGGGGGAAATAGAATAAAAATAAAGTGATGCTGGGACACCTGGGTGACAGTCGATTCAGTGTTGGCCTTGGGTTCAGGTCATGATCCCTGGGTCCTGGAATCAAGTCCCCACATGCTTCCTTCCCCCTCTCCCTCTGCCTGCTGCTCCCCTTGCTTGTGCTCTCTGTCAAATAAAATCCTAAATAAAAATAAAGAGATACCCATAATATTAGTAAAAGAAAAACAAAACAAAAAGAGGTGACAATAGAAATCTGCCAAGTTGACCACTGTTCTGGGACCCGACATTAGATCCTGAAAGCGCATGGATGCTGGGCTGGGTGGACCTCAAGTTCTCTATAATAGGGCCACATTGTAGATGCGGCTAAGGGTTTCTGGCAGCCTGCCCCTCTCCAGGGCTCCTCCAGAAGATGAAGACAGAAAGAAAATGACTTTGACCTACTTTCAGTTTTATATGACCTTGCCCTCCAAGGTTAGAAGTAGGGGTGGATTGTGGAGCCCAGACAGCAAGGATGAAGGGCCTAGGAGGTGACCGCGGGCTTCTCTGCACCCAGGCATCCCTGCGGGATATGGGTCAGAAGGAGACAGAGCTCCTCGCGTCCCTTCTCCAGCATTGCTTGGTTCCACGGAAATGAAGCCGTGGCCCTCAGAAGGCACATGGCCCGGCTGGATCCGGCCATCTTGACACATGAGGTCTTCCAGGCCCAAGAGCTGCCCGGAGGATAAACTCGGCCTCTGTTCATCTAAGTTCAGGGAGGTCCTGTGGACAAATGTGTTTTCTCACAATCAGACTGGGAAGACCAGAACAACCCCAAAGTGATCTGTTTTTAGGAAAACTATTTCAATATACAGATGTTAAAAAATTGAGAACAAGGGCTGGCTGGCCGGTTCAGTCAATAGACGGTGTGACTCGATCTCAGGGATGTGAGTTCGAGCCCCACCATGGTTGTAGAGAGTGGTTAAAAAAAATTTACATTGAGAACAAGTACGAATCATCCAAAAAGGGGAAAAGAGAGCTATGTGCACCAGGAGTTCACAGCAAGTTTGCTCCAGGTTTTAGGTTTTAGGCTGCCCTTAGAGCTGCTTTGATGGCACGTTTTCTTCAACATGGCCATTTTTAGTACAGAAAGTGGGGAGACACCTAATTACCTAATTTTCCCGGATGCTGGCAGTTACAACAGACTTTTTTTTTTTTTTTAGACAGAGAGAGCACAAGCAGAGGGGGTGGGCAGAGGGAGAACCAGACTCCCCCATTGAGCACGGAGCCTGACTCTGGACTTGATCCCAGTGCCCCGAGATCGTGACCTGAGCCGAAGGCAGACACCCAACCAACAGAGCCACCCCAGCGCCCCTACAAGAGACATTTTGACAGAAGGCGGCCCTGAAAAGTTTCTAGCAAGCGGAGTCTGGTGAATAGAAACGAATTGTCTGCGGACTTGGGTTTTTGCGCACCAAGGGCGTGTGATGTGTGGGACGGGTGACAAGCCCCTGCTGTTTGTGTCATGTAGGAAGCAGCGGTGAGGGGGCGCAGGGGAAGGGACTGAGAGTTGCGGGGCGGAGATTCTGGGCATCCCAAAGCCTCTCGAGCCCCAGACTGGAGCCCTTCAGACTGGCTTCTGTTAACCCCTGTGGCTCCGGGCCCTGCATGGCTGTGCCACGTCGGTGGCACCACATCGGTGGCAGCACTGCCATGGCCTGTCTTACAGGAGTCTCACTCGGTGTTTGCTCTCTCCCTCTGGCCCTGCTGCTTCCTTCCCTGTACCTTAGGCTTTAATCGGCCCTAATGGTATCGAGGTCGTTTTCTTCCACCCAACGCTGTGAACGAGGGGGATCTCCTCTTGGTTTCAGCTTGCGGGTGGGGTGGTGCCTTGTGGTGGTGTGTTATGGCCTTGCCATTGACTCTGAGAACGCCAGGCAACATCTCAGAATGGGTTCTTCACGTTTCCTGAGCCGGAGCAGTCCTGGTATCTGTCTGGCGGGACACATGGGTGGGAGCTGAAGTGGGTTCTGAGTGGAATCTTCTGACCACAATGGACTTGAAGGGTCCCCAGTGAGGCAGTTGAGGGGACAGGTATGGTATAAGCACGGGTGGAAATGGCGGCAGAGCCACCCCCACAGTCTCATTGAGTGGGCAATGCTTCCTTGAAGCATCAGAGGCTCAGTGTGAAACCTGGGCAACGGGACTGCCACCCAGGAAGTGTCCAGTGTGCTGTGTGCAGCATACTTCAGAGGCTCCCAAGTCATCAGACTCCCAGAGTCATCAGAGGCTCCCAGAGTCATCAAGGCTCCCAGACATCCAAGTGATCCGATGTCTGCGCAGCCACCCCCTCCCCCATTCCTTCCTCACAGAGTCCTGATGGGGTCCTGTTCTCTGCTCCTCTGAACAGCCCTGTGTTCATGGGAACACAGCCCCAGACCCAGGTACCTCAGCCAACCTTGGTCGGCCCATCTCCTCACTGGAGATTGGTTGAGGCGTGAACACATGACATATTCTGGCCAATTGAGACCTGACAGGAGGCCGGGGGCGGGACAGCGGGACAGGTGCAAGGGTTCCCTCACTCCTATGGACACCCGGCAGAGGTGGCCCTTTTCCTGCATCTGGATACGACATGTGAGCTCCTGCGGCAGTCTTGCAAGGACGAGGAAGGCTAGTGGGCCCCAGGAGCCCGAAGCGCAAGGAATTTGGAACCACGGAAACGGCCGCATAGGCCCATTCTGCCTTTGGGCTCCTCCATGCCCCAGCTCCCCTCTGGTATGCTGCTGGACCATCTTAGCAGATCCAAGGATATGAAAGCTCCTTGAGTTTACTTTCCAGAGCCCTGGGAATTTTGACTCAAATACACAGGAGTCCTTTGTGTTTAGTGAAATCAGAGAAGAAGGATCCAGGCAGGAGGAGACGAAAGCCCATCAGCCGGCATCAGGGCAACGCGCTGGGTAGGGCAGCCCCGGGGTGGTGGCCCGGTCTGCCACCGCACCCAGTGGGTGGGGAGTTGCAATGATGGGGAAGGGATCACTGGGAGAGGACAAAGGGAAGAAAGAACTCTTAAAATCAGATTAAAAAAAAAAAAGAGCAGTGACAAAAAGATGATTTTTAACAAAGAAAGAACCATAGACATTAGGCTAGAACGCAGAGACCAGCCCCTTGTTCCATGCAGACTGTCAGCAAGGAAGCAAACGGAGTCAGGGCCACAGGAGGGAGGCGCCCGAGGAGAACTCCAGCACTGAGCGAGAGAGGAAGGAAGGAAAGGGACTCACTCCCGCCATCACCAATGTCAGGTGCGCAAAAGGCCACTGCTTCTTTGAGTTCACTGTATTGATTTAGCTTTATTCCAGCAAATACAAAATATTTATAAGAACTTCGCAGGTTCTCTCCTCACCAGACCCTCCCTAATTCCGTTTGCTATGAGCTTTCGTGCTAATGGAACAGAAACGGCCTGTGCAGCACGAAGGAACTGCTGTATTCCCCTCATCCCACGTTGGCTGACCCCAGGACCTACGGAGCCCCCAAGCTGTCCCAGACACTGTCCCCATCAGGCCATTTTGGTGTTTTCCGGCGTGCTGTCTGTGGAAAGGCCCTTTCCCTGCACGCATGGCTGTCTTCTCCGGAGGACCTTCGTCTCCCTTACAGGCGGGCACCATGTTGCATCTTTGATGTCTCTCTCTAGCAGGGGGCACAGTGCTGGGTGTGTTATAAACACTCAAACGAGCCTCCCTTCCTTAAGTGGGAAGTCAGTGTCATGCTTAAATGGGAGGGGCTCTTCGCGGGTCCCAGCTCTGAGGGCACTGATCAGTTCAGCATGGAAGGTGGGTGTTGAGGTGCTGAGTTAGGGTTTTTGCTAAAAGCACGCTCAGAGCCTGGGACAGGCAGCAGCTCGCATCCCTGGGCACAGCCCCCCCCCCCACCTGCCCGCACCTGGTGTGGAAAGGATTCGGGGGCGCCGTGCAGAAGATGGGTAACAGGTCCTGCTGTCTGGGTGTCCAGCCTAACAACGCTGCCCCCTCATTCTGCCTCAGAAGGCTTTCTGGAAGCCTCCGGAACTGCGGGGAGCATTCTCTTAGCAAATGCGTCTAACTCTGAAGACAGCTATCCCGCTTCCTATAAAAGGAGGACTAAGCTGTGGGAACGCGCCATCAGGGGCCATCCACCTCTACAGCTATGTCTGGGGGAGGGAAGGAGCCTGCTGACGTCTGCATGGGAGGGCCTGGACCTCGCCGGACGAAGGCTGCCTACATGTCATAGAGCCGGAGCTGTTCCTGCACGTCGCCAGCGGACATCTCCCCGAATGTCTCCTTGTTGTCCTGCATGAGCTTGAAGATGGCTGCCAGCTGCTCCTTTTGCACTCTGTGGGGAAGAGAGGACAGAGAGGAGAAAGGTGCTCCAAGCCCAGCGCGGCAGGGGCGCTGGGGGGCCCTGCTCTATCCGCTACTGCTGAGTCTGCTTTCCAGGACAAGAAGAAAATCAAACTGCACCAAAACCCACTCAAAGCTCAACGACCTCAGCTGGAAGGTTCTAAAAGCCGGCTCTAGGTCTCGGGTGTTCCCTGCAGGTCTGGGGACGTGAGTGACCGTGTGGGTTCCGGTGCCCCTGTTTCCCCTTGGGCCCCCTTTGACCATTGACCTCGCATGTCGGGGTAGGTAACGGGGAGAGGCCCGTTCTGTTAGGTGGCTGGAGAGCGAGCCCCCGAAGAAACAGGTTAGCAAGAGCCTCAGTTTAGAGGGATGAGGACAAAGACCATGGCCGGCCGAGACGGAGGGGGCGCACGTGGAGGGGCACATGGGGGCGTGACTCGGGGCTGGCATGGGGTCTCACTGCCCAGAGGAAGGGGCTCAGCACCTTTTCCTTTTCCTGATTTGCGCAGATACCTTTATGGCCAGCGGGGGCCCTGCCCCTCCTGCCATAGACCGGCCTGCACAGGCTGCTGTCTTTGTGAGGCTCCGCCGCGCCATCTGACCAGCATAGGGCAACTCCCAGGAGCGCAAACATTTGGAAAGGGTGGGGCAAGACTGCCTCAGAAAGCAGGGACCGTCTGCGGTTCTGGTCCCGTACCGGCTGTTTGCACGGCTGGCATCTGTCTTCTGCAGTATCTCCGGGCCACCACACCCTGCTCCTGGGCCCTCTCAACCTCCACCTGCAGCTGGCAATGCCACAGACACGGGCAGGTCCCACGTGGCTGGGCTCTGGCACAACCTCCGGTCACCCAGCACCCAGAACGCTGCCCGGGGCCGGGCTGCGGTCTGAGCATCTGGTCTTACACGTGCGTCTCGATAGATTTCCTTCCGTGGGAACCCCATGTCTCCCATCCAGAAGTTAGTTTTCTGGCTACAGCAGCATCTAGAAACTCAAATATTGAAGTCCCAAACCCCAGCCTCTCTTTGTCACCCCGGGAATGTGCTTTCTACGGTCCGTTTGCCCGTCTGGAGGAGAAGGAGCATGGCCTAGGTGTTTGGTACCCACCGTCCGAAGACAGCACTGAGAACTGAAAGGGGGTGTGTTGAGCTCCTTGGTTGAAATCAGCATCTCCCCACCCTGAGCGACCACAGATTCTCAGATATTTTTCATGGCTGTGGTGTTTGGGCACTTTTAACAGGGGTGGACCTATGGCTTGGACTCGGCTAGAGAGCAACAGGCATTCAAAGTGAGAGAGAGCTCAAATTTTAATGGGTTCAAAGGAGATTATTTTTTAAAAACAAAGCAAAACTGAAGAAACACACAGTAACCGAGATCATCTACTCCAAGTTTATTGGGCTGAACAGAGGCCGAACACACAAATCCAAGCTATCAGGAGTATGTGAGCCCTGGTGCCTACAAGGCCCGGCAGGAAGAGTCCAGACAACTAACTAGTTAGATAACTAACCTGGAGGGAGTCACTTACTTACTGGATCCGTAAGATCCCAGCCTGGGCAGGGCCGTTCTTACTGCTGTGTGGGGACCTATGTGCCACCAAGCATACATCTCCTCGTCACGTGGCTCAGCGTGGCTTACCCACTATTGCCTGGTCTGCTCTCCGCCCCCAAACCTAAGCTTTTAGGCCCAGAGGAGGAGGTCACTGGGAATGTAACATGCCCCAGGGGTAGGCACCCTGGCCTTCCATTAAATGGCCAAAAAAGTTCTCTATAAACTTACTGCTTAAAAAAAAAATGTTTTAACCAACACATCTAAAAACTGCCAATTAGTCTCATACAGTATAAATACTGTCCAGTATAAAACTCCAAGAAATGGATCTGGGACTGCTCTCACTATCTGGTGAAATTCTGATCTGTCTAGGACACCTTCTAGGGAACGGCACAGTCCAGAAATCTACTTCAAGCTCACTCTTCCTACTGCTTCTGCCGAAGTGAAGGTGGAGATTCAGCTGAGCTGGTAAGAGCGTCAGGGAAAAGGCCTCTGAGCCCCAAGACGACCGGATTGCAGAGACTAAGGGCAATAGAGATATGGAGCTGGCACTGGTTCCCTGCTCTGGGACCATCAACATGGCATCCCTCGCCCCCTGCCACCAAGCCAGCCAGCCAGAAAGAGGGAAGTGGGCCCCCAGGGAAAGGAGGACAGTCAGCCACCCCAGAGCCGGCTAAGAGCGAAGGAGCTTGGCCTCAGCTATCTGGAATGCCTCAGAGTCTTTCTCGTTTTGGCTCCAGTGAAGGAGAAGGCCAGTAGAGGGTAGGGGGAGGCACTGGAAGGAAGCTACAATGGTTTTGCAATGACAAGGTGTCTGTCACTGGGGACATCACAGATGTGAAGGGTGAGAGCAGGGTTCAGCGATAAGAAAGACCAAAGTCTACAAAACCCTGGCTTAACCAAGCAATCTACACCAACTGGGAGGAACACCTCTACCCCGGGGTGGGGGGGCCAAGGCACTCCCAGAACCCTCCCCGCCAAGGGGCAGGTCCTGACGGAGGGTCTGGGTCCCCGCGGATTTATGCCAGCCAGAGCCTGTATGGCTCTGCTCTGGGGATTTCCATTTTATCTCTCAAGCTTTTTAGATGCCAAAAGGAAAAGCCTTTAGCAGGAGGCTAAGGATAACTTCATTATTCTTCGGTTCTGTAAAGAGAAATAGGGAGAAAAGATCATTTATTTTACTTCTTCCATCTAACAAGTATTGTGGGGGAGGACATGGGAAACAGGGATGAGGAGGAGGATGTTTGGGATTGCAGATGCTGGACACTGGTTTCTCGGTCAAGGGGCAGTTTGCTTCTTGTCACCTGCAGTAGGACACTCTGTTCCCCAGAGCTGGCCTGACTCGGCACAGGACCTCAGCAGCCTGCCACACCCCATTATGAGTCCAGAGTCCATGAACTACTGTTGAGTTAGGTCGGGCGGATGCTGTCTCTGGACAGGTGGGCAGCACAGACCCTTTCTCTGGGCAGGTGGGCAGGGTAGACTCTAGGTCAGACACTGGGCACTTCTGATTTTTGGCTCTGTGCTTTACTGGGCCCATCCTGTCAAGTTCGACTACTCCCTATTCCTGCCGGCAGGGTTTTGTCCCCGCTGGGGACACTGACACCCTAGGATGGACGTCCACCTTTCCCAAAATGACACCCAGCAGCACACGGACTCATCAAGGGATCACAGGGGATCCGATTTTGTCCCTCCAGCGCTCTCTCCTGGAGGTCAGAGTCTCGAGTATTTCTAGACCTTAACACTGGCCAAGCCTTGGCCGACTCAGCAGGTTGCAGAGGCCAGGATATCCCACAGCCTGGGTTCCCCGGCCTCTTCCCCAGCCCCTGCCTGTGATGCAGTACAAAACACCTCCACCACAGTCGTGTCGCCCTCCAGAAAGGTCAGGACATTCTGACGACCTTCAGAATGGGAGTGGGTGCTGGGGTCCCAGGTTCCTGTGTATCAGAGCCTTCCTGGTCTACACTTCCCTCTGGACCAGAAGGTGGGGAGAACAGATGGTGTACAAGGACAGGAGTGGGCAGAGGTGCTTATTCTTTTTCCTGCCAAGATCACTAGCTTCCCAAGCTCTGAGAGCCAGAGGAGCCGTCAGCAGCCGGCAAGCCCACTGTCCTGTCCACGCTCGGAAGCTGGATGCGGCCCTCCCAGAGAGACTGCGGTGGGAACACACACCCCCGCCAGCCAGGCATGGCAAGGCCAAGGGGGCCGTGAGCCCTGAGCCCCAGGAGAAGCCCCGAAGGAGGGGGCAGGTCGTGACAGAACACGCTCTTCCTTGGGCGGCGACAGGCTCTGGATTCGCAAACCCGACCGTGTTCAGCTCCTCAGGCAGAAGGAAGCTGACCTGCGAGCGAGTCCAAGGATGGGAATGTCCATTTAAACACCAGAGGAACGATCTGGGGTCTTGATTTTAGTCCCGCTTCCTAAGTGCTATGCCCTGAAAATTTATGAAGTGAGGCTTTAGGGGATGCGGGATCACGTGACCACTGAGGCCCCCGGCTCAGCCTACTGCTGCTCTGTTGGCTGAGTTGAGAAGTTTTCTAAAGTCAGGGATTTGCGGCACTTACTTGCAACTCAGCTGGGACCCAGCGTGCCAGGAGAGGAATTAGAAACAGGCAGTGTTTGGTCGGAAAGAATCTGACAGGCAAAGAAGAGAGCACACTTCGCTGGCCTGTGGTTTCAGTGGTTGGACAGTAACAGACGTATTGTTTCCACACTGGAATTCCAGGGCAGTGTCCTACCCTCAGCTGGGACCAGAACCCACTTGCACCCGCCGGCGCTCCCGGGCCACACAGGAACTAGCGTGCTGTCAGTGGAGACAAGGAGCCCAGCGCGCCAGCCTCTGCAACCCCAAGCATCTCCACGAGAGGGACAGAAGCGGCTGCAGGAGGGGTGTGGTCAAGCAGCCCCATGCAGTGCCACGTGGGCTGGCCGCGTGCAGGGGCAGGAGGCAGCAGGCAGGCGGCACAGGCAGATGCGTCCAACAGCCGCGGGGAGCATGCTGGGAAGGGCAGGCATGAAAATGGACATGAACTCCAGCTCCACCCCGTGAGGACAGCACCACACTGAGCGAGGACTGTGTTTAAGGGCTATGGCGTCCACCGGCCCCTCCTTCTCCACTTGGGCCACAGCCTCCTTCACCCCGAGAGAAGCCCGGGGGCAAAGTCTCCACCTCACGGAATAGCCAAATGTCAATCAGTGCGTGAGAAGCCCCCCCTACGAGCCCCCTCGGGAAAGAGCCCCCTGGCCGATGCAGAGTCCGCTGTCTAAACACGACAGAGGACAGACTTTCCCTCCCTCTTCCCGAAGTCCTGGCTCAGAGCCCAGGGTCGGTGGCCATCCGACCCCGCAACCTAAGGCCTGGCATCCGTTCCCTGTCCTTCCTGTTTCAATGGCTCCTCACGGCCACAGGGAGCACCTGCCCGAGCCCTGGGAATCAGGCCTGTCCCAGCCACAGCTCTGTCCACGGGGACCTCTGCGGGACCTCAAGGGCACCCTGCCCTCCCTATTGTTAACCCAGGGGCCGCACGTGTTTTCTGTAAAGGGCCCGATACTGACTCTTCTGGGTCCTGTGGCCCACGTGGTCTCTGTTGCAATGACTCGCCCTGGCCACAGGGGCGTGGAAGCTGCCACAGACCACAGGAAACGGAAAGAGCAGTCGTGTTGCAGTCACACTGAGCTTACTGACCAGGACCGCACTCGGCCACCCCTTCCTCTGCCCCAGAAAACCTGCCTGTCCCACCACTCAGGAGCAGAGGGTTTTTTTTGTTGTTGTTGTTTTGCCACATGAGGCTTTTTTCTTAGGGCAGGACAAAGCGTCAGGGCGACACCCAGAGGTTCCTGAGGGGGACGACAGTTCGGCCCCAGCCTCACAAGGGGGCGCTAGCTCCCCACCAGCAGGTCCGCGGGGCCCACTGGGGACTTCGGTCCCCTGGGCTCCCAGAACCCTGTAGCCCTGGGAGGGGGACCGGGTCACAGGGCGCTCCCCCCGCCCCCCCGTGCTGGTGCCCGGAATGTACCAACTGGTTAATGAAGGCGGCGGAGGAGGGGAGGTTTAAACTGGGTCAGTCATGTTGGGGACACGTTAACAGACAGGGAGAGGGAAGCACCACTGGTCTAGGGCCTCAATCTCCTTACCAAAAGGATTTGCAAGAATATGTGTGGCTCAGGACCTAAGGAACTTGCTACAGGGAAGTGAGGTCAGAGGTCAGCTCAATCCTGAAATATAAAGGCAGCAAACGGGGTCACACCCAGAGGCAGCGTCACCAGCACCTAGGGGAGGGGCGCGGATCCGCGGGAGGCCACCTTCCCTGCTCCGGGTCTTCTTCAGGCTGGGCCTACACCGCCACCCCTCTGCTCCAGGAGAAGAGCCTTCCAGGCCGGGTTTGGAGGAGCTGGGGACAGTTGACAGAGGGGAAATGGGGATTCTCATGGGCAAAGCGGCTTCTGACTTTGGAGGGACCCCGAGTGGCGTGGCCAGCCGCAATGAGGCTGTTGGAGTTATGCATTCGAATACGCCCTCCTGCTCCCTGTGACCCTAGCAGCCCAGCCTGGGTTCCTGCTTCGATTCCCGCTCGAACCGAAGCGTGCCAGGCCCCAGGCCGGCCAGCAGCGTGCAGGAGACAGCTGGGCGGAGGGTCTGAGCACCGCTTCTCTCCCCAGCTGTCCTGCTGCTTCCAGAGCGTTCCTTAGCACCCTGGCGGGATGGAGGGAGGCCCACGGGTGCGCAGTGGGTGTCCGGCGGGGGCGGAGGGGCCCCAGTTCTAAAACTGAGAAGCTAGGCAGCTGCCATTGTGTGGGAGCCCCGTGGAGCAGAACAGATGCAGACGGACCCGCAGACGCTGGGCAGGAGGGGTGGGAGGGAGGGGGAGGGGAGCTGCCAAGCGGGTGAGCAGGAAGAATTGTCCCCTCTCAGGTGATAGATTGGTTTTGTCAGGAACTCGCCCTGGGAGGGAACAGCCGCCTCTTGGCCTCTGGCTTTTCCCTTCTGAGTGGGAGGGAGGCGGGCGGAGGAGGGGCTCAGCCGCCCTCCCCTCCTCCCCCCACCCCTGGAGCACCCCGGGGGGAACTGAGCCTGGCTGACGACAGCCAGGACAGAAAAGAACCCCTAAACCCAAAGTGGGGGCGTGGCAGTGGTTGGGGCAGGGGCTTGCCGCGGGCTAGCCCCCTCAGCCCTCCCCCTGCACCTCGGGACCGTGACCGTGACCGGAGAGGAAGGTGCTCTGCGGCCCTACCTCTGCTCCTCCTCCAGCTCCTCTTTGGTCATCATCTTCTTGTACTGGTTTCCCCGCAGCTTCCCAGGGCTGTATTTAAAGGAGAAGACCTCTCCCCCTGCAGAGAGGAGACGGGGTCAGAGGCAGCGGCAGGGTCTGAGTGCTGGGGGCCCTCCCCCAGACTCAAGGTCCCCTTCCCCTTTTATTAGTTTCAAAAGGGCCGCTCGGCCAGAGGGGGTCTCCCCCCCCCCCCCCCCCCCGTCCACCCCAGGGCCCGCACAGGTGCTGCCAGGCCTCAGAGAGGGCGGTGGTGACTTTTCTTCTCGCCTGACAGGCTTCCTCTCACAGTCTTTCTGTGAAATCCCACGGCCACTGAGGAACTCCAAATGGGGATCCGGAGACAAAATTGTAACAGCTGGGGAGAAATCAGTCCCCTCCTCAAACAGCACAGCTCCGTCCACCAAATGATGGTTCCCTTCCCAGACCGGGCTGAGCTGTCCACAGGTCTGTCTGGCTGTCCCTCTCCGGCGAAGGCTCCCGCCGAGCTGCTGCCTGCGAGGATGGTCCACCCTTGTCTTTGAGGCCCTCCACTACCGCTGGGCGACTCACACCAGAGGGAGCAGGCTGGGCCAGGGTGCTGGGCTCCCTGCCTCTCCTCGGGGAGGAGGGTGCCTGGGATGGCACAGGGACTCCCAAGCCTCCTGCTGGGGTCCTCCAGCTCCAGGGCCTGGGGCTGCCTGCCAGTGATTAGAAATCTGGAACAACGCATCCAGCCCACGGTAGGACATGGAAGTGTTGTGGCATTTCCACACCGTCTTGAATTCGGGCATCAAAACTGGTTCGTATTACTGAGAGGGTGTGCTGGGATTTGCCAGCCCCTGAGGGCAGACTCCTAGCTGCCTTAGAACAAACAGACCATCTCGAGGCCTAATGAGGGCACACCAGAGGTCTGGGCAGAGGGAAGCAGGACCGTGAGACAGGGAGCAAGGGCAAGTGCTGGGAACACGGGCGCGGGCTGCAGGACAGGAGAGGAAAGCGCCCCAGAGCATTGCCCTGGGCTGAGCATCAGAGAGGAGACAGTCCCCTTGGACGTGAGGCCCTGAAGTGGTCCTTCAGCCCAGCAGGTGCAGGGCACACAACCCCAGCCGCCCCGCATTCTGTCTATGACCGAGACAGAATGAACGGTCTTGTCTAATTCCCATGAAGTTATGTGTAAAGAACTGAGTATGGGAAATGCGGAGGCCAGCAGATCGCCCTCCCATGCAGGCACAGACCTTTTCAGTTGTTCTGGAGAGCTTACTGCTCTGTCACTCCAGTGCCAGGAATCTCAAACGCCTGGGCACCCTGCCCCAGGCCACCCCGCTCCAGGCCATCCCGGCCTCCCGCTGGCGGCTGTCTGGCTTGATCAGGCAGGCTGACGTGGGCCCAGCGGGGGAGGAAAACGCCTGGGCCCGTCGGATTCAGCTGCTCTCTGGGCTGAGGGAGGAAGGTTCTGGATGCAAATTCCGAACCCAAATGTTATGTGGTGGGGACCGTGTTCTTTCTAAAACCTCGCGGAGGAGAAGCTGGCCGGCTCCACCGTCCTCTCTCATGGCCCCCTCATCCCGGCCAACTGCCCAGAGAGCGAGGCTGAAGCCTTGCCTTGGGAAGAAGTTACTGCCTTTGCACAAGGACTCCTTTGCTCTTTGTTCTTTCTGCAAATATTTAGTGAGCACTGCGCTCGGGGCTGGAGACTTAGCAGCAAATAAAACGTACAGCAAGTAAAGAGAAGTCAGAAACAGTTTGAAGTCGGTCGTGAGTACTCTGCAGAAACGACATGGTGTGGGAGGGAGGGAGGGGGCTGCTTGGAAGATTCTCTGGGGGCGGGGGTGGCATCAGGAAGGGTTTTACAGACGGTAGTTGAGGGGGTGCTGTGAGTTGAGGCCTGCGGTGTCTGGGGAGACAGAGCCAGCAAAGCAAGGAGGCCGATGGCACTGGGTGGCAGAGAGAGGGGCCCAGAAACAGAGGAATCCATTCCCATCCCTCCCCACTGGGGACCCCAGCCGCCCGCTGGCCAGCTCTTCCTCCAGGCTGAGCTCTGCTCAGGTTGACAAGCAAAGGCTGGAAAGTTCCATTCCTTGTGGGTCCACAGAACCGGGAGCTTCCAGCAGCACCGAGTGTGGGCTGCCTGCGTCTGAGGATCTGGGCACTTTTCTGAGTGAGTCAGAGCTGCTGTCTGAGAGGCCTGAGTCCTTGAGGACCAGGAAAGCCCCAGAAAGCCTGCCGGAGGGGCATAATCCCACAGAGGCCGCGGTCTCAGAATGAGCTCACAGCCGACGCTAGATTCCGGATCTCAGAAAGAGGCCACAGAGAAAGAAAACCAATTAGCCTCAACATCAAGGTCATTGTGTTGCTATGTTTTAGAAAAATAAAACATAAAAAATTCTGCCTGCTGGGTACGACTCAAGGTCTCCGTGTATGGGGCAGGTCTGATTAGTCTCATGCTTTCGGGCCCAGGCAGAACAAACGACTAGAAAAGGCTTTCACTTAATCACATCGTATGTGGTGTACCCAGGGATAACAGTCGCATCCAATTTTGCTGGCCGGGAGGTTTCGATGGGAGGGCCCCCTGGGAGCAGGACTTCCTCCTCAGGCAGCTGTCTGTGAAACACCAGGTCGCTTAGGGAGGGCGTCTGAGCGGCACTAATCAATTAGCCTGAGAGCCGAGCACTCACTGCAGAGGGGCTGGGGGCTGGTCCTCTTTTCCTCTGACAGCTGCGGCCATAAACCTCCCCTCCCTCGCCTAGTCAGAGCTGCCAGGAAGACGCTGGGGGATGGGGGATGTCCTGGGGGCAGCAGTCAGATAAGGGGGAGGGCTCCTGACGAGGCACAGGCTGGGTGTGAGGCTGGTGAGCCTCCCCTCGTCCTAGCCTGGGGCATCTGGCAGTCTTGGCTCTAGTCCCTGCCGGTGTCCCCAAGTCACTAACCGACTTTTGGCATCCCTGCAGGCGCCTGGGGCCACCCAGGCAGGGACAGACACCAGGGCCACAGTCCCACGCATCTCTAACCTACAGATGATGGAGGAGAACCAAAAGCTCTGGGGAGAGCAGGCTCCCTCACCACGGGCCTGCGCAGCTGTCTGCCCTTCCTTCTCCTCTGAGGCAGTAGTGACAAGCGCAGGCCCACGGTGCCTCAGTGGGGAGCTGTGGGGCCCCCAGCACTGCCCTGCTGCCTGCCACACGCCCACACCAGCCGTGGTCAGGGCATTCCTGCAACCCTCTCTTTCCACTGCCCCTGCCAGCAGTCGGCTGAAAGTCAAAGCAACAGTCTCACTTAAAAAAAAAAATGATGAACTATTTCAAACACACACAAAAGTAAGTAAATAAATAAATAAATAAATAAAAGGCAAAGGAAAAAAAAAGAAAGAAAAGGGGTGCCTGGGTGGCTCAGTTGTTAAGCGTCTGCCTTCAGCTCTGGTCATGATCCCAGGATGCTGGGATCGAGCCCCACATGGGGCTCCCTGCTCTGCGGGAAGCCTGCTTCCCCCACTTCTCTTCCCCTGCTTGTGTTCCCTCTCTCACTGTCTCTCTCTGTCAAATAAAAAAGAAAAAAGAAACAAACATACACAAAAGTCCAAGTAATAAGTCCCCCAGACTTAACAAACGTCGACATGTTGGTTTTGTTTGTTGTTTGTTTGTGTCTTTTTAAAGAAATAAAACACGATGGCCCAGCAGAGACCCAGACCACGTGTGGTTGTCTCTGTCCGGGGGACTGGCCCCCAGGGGTGCCCAGGGCAAGCCCACCGCCGTCCACCCAGTCCAGTTTGAATCTGGCCAGTGTTTTAAATGCTCCTGGTCACTCCCGCTCCCTTCTCCTGGCGGGCGGGAGTCTGATGGCGGGAGGTCCGGCCAGTCAGCTTGCCACCGTGCAGAACGCGTGGGCAGCGGCCCTGTGAGTGGCTTTCGTCTCCATCAGATGGAAGGGGAGAGTCTGTCGAGAGACTGAAGTGCACAAGCAGTGACGGGACAGGAGCTGGGGGGCAGGGCAGGAAACGGAGGGTCAGGGTGCTTGGTTTACTGGCGAGATGGGCCTTCCAGAGCAGAAGACAACTCACAGTTTAGAGACAGGAAGGTGGGGACAGAAAGAGGAAAGGCGACCGGGCCGGGGCGGGGGGTGGGTACGCCCTGGAGGCCGGGTCCCACTCACCCTCCTCTTCCTCAGGCCCTGCTTGGGGTGGGCTCTCCCGGCCATCCTCCTCCTGCTCTGGTTCCTCTTCCTCCTGCAAGGCAAGGAGGGAGTCAGCCCCGGGCGCCCGGAGCCCGAGACAGTCCCTCTGATACGTCCTGCAGGTGCCTGACTCCTTGGTGAAAGCCACCTGACTGGCGTGGGGGGGGTGACGGTCACCCTGTGGGGGGAACCGGTGGAATTGGTGGAATCCGCACAGTTTCTGTGTAAACACCGTGTGGCCAAGATGACAAGGGGGAGGCTGTGGGCGGAGGAGCTACGCTTTTGACCGATGAACCTCAGTCCCTTTGCCCTTTCTGGGTGGGTGCCTGTCAAAGCCTCTGGAGGCCGTCCGGGTCATGGGACGGGGACTCCCACCCACGCTCCGCCCCCCGACCCTGCTCCAGTGAGTAGAACTAAAGGCACGAGAGGAAGGCTGGCCGGCCATCTGCGGCCCTGGGGCCAGGCTGGGCCATCACGGGGGAGCGGCACTCGCGGGCACAGACTCCGTCTCTGCCTCCTGGCACCTCGTTTGTACCCCTAAGAGGCTCAACGTCCATCTTCCCAAATTGGAGCTCCACCTCCTTCAGGGCCGGCGCTCTCCCACGAATGGACTCAATAAACAGATGGGCTGGAAGGAGTGTCCCAAGATGGCCTTCTTGGGAGGAAGAGTGACTTCAACCTGCAGGAATGCTAGGGGGGGCGGCGGGACAGGGACGCACAGATTCTCCAGCTATAGGGAATTTAGGGTCCGCGTGGCCCAGGCAACCGTGACAGGAAGCGGGCGGGCAAACATGGACAGACCCACAGGTTCAGCGAGGGAAGCACACACAGGAGGGAGCCGCCCACAGCCGGTGGAGAGGGCAGCGCGCCTGGGCCTTTGGGACTCGGCTCCCAGAGCAGGAGCCTGGAGTGGCCGGCAGCAGGCTCGCTCACAAAACAGTGAGCGAAGCAGCCAGTCACGAGTGGCAAACCCTGAAAGGCATTGAGTTTTCTGGCACTTTCTCGCTCTCTGGACCCCACAAAATGCAGCCGGGGCAGGAGGCAGGAGCAGGACTTCTCCACTTGGCAACAGTGTCCAGCAAGCTCAGCACCAGTGACATGGGAGCCACGATGCCACGAGTGCCGCCGTGATGCCCCCCAGATTTTGCACAGCAAAGCATCTTTGTGCCTGTGGGGAGGGGGCCAGGCCTCTCCAGGGGAGGCAGGAAAAGGAGACACCCTTTTGACCCCGCAAACCCACTTCTGGGGATCTGCTCTGGACTGGGAAACCATCTGTCCACGTTTTTATACAAGGGCTCTGATTGTGTGCAGCAGAAAACACGGCAAACTGGAAACAAGGAAATGTTCGTCCTCAGAGTGAAATGTCTTATCGGTAAATATATTTGGTTAACGTGTTCGCTACGACATTACCAGGCTGAATATATCACGGTGTGCCTGTGCCATGCAGCCCTGTGCTTTAAAAAGGAGGCGGCGGTACAAACCGATGTGAGAAATGCATCAGGTAAATTACCAAGAGGAAAAAGCAAGAAGCAGCACAGTGTGAGGGGGACAGTCTTCTTGGTGTAAATACAAAAATGGAAGTGCACACACATGCTCCTAAACGCTAACCGAAGTTTTTCTGGAAGGATGGCAAGGCACTGTTAGCAGTGACTACCTTTGGGAGGCAGAGCTACCATTGGGGGTGGAGTCACCTTGGGGCGGGGCTACCTTGGGGGGAGGGGCGGCCCTTTGCTCATATGATACATTTCCATATATTTGGATTTCCTAATAATACGCACGAATATGCATTAATTACTCCTAACATGTTTTAAAAATACTACACAAGCTGAACTTGAAATCTGCTGGACTATGAAATCTAATTTTTTTTTTTTTTAAGGAACAGAAAAGGAAAGAAAGAGAGACAAATAGCCATTAACCCATTCATGGCTAATAAAGAAACGGAGAGGAGGTGGATTTTCCCATTATGTGTGAGGGACACCGAGATAAAAGAGAAATAAGCCCAGTCCCTTCCACAAAGATGTCATGATGCAGGTGGGAAGACAGCTACACAGTAACTGCCATCCAAGGTGAGAACGTCAAGAACCGAGGCCGACCCCACCACCCCAAAGGGACACGGTGAAAGCAGACCTGCCAACACTCTCCCGGGGAGAGGCTGGTCTATATTTGAATCTTGCACTTGACTTGTGAAGTGTGCTGTTGCTTAAACTGTGGTTGCGGTCCCTTTGGCAGGTTAGGAAAGCAATTCAGAGGTCGCTACTGACGGATACATTTTATTTTATTTATTTGTTTTGACAGACCGAGAGCAATCACAAGCAGACAGAGCGGCAGGCAGAGGCAGAGGGAGAGGGAGAAGCAGGCTCCGCGCTGAGCAGGGAGCCCGACGGCGCAGGACTCCATCCCAGGACCCCAGGACCATGACCTGAGCTGAAGGTGGACGCTTCACCGACTGAGCCCCCCAGGGGCCCCGCTCCTGATATTTTTTTAAATGTGCAATCCAAGTCTTAGTGTGGTTTTCAGCTTTAAGAATTTCAGAAGCTACAAACATACCAGAAGATGACATCGGAGAGGTTATTTTCATTTTAAATATATTGCTATTTCTCATTCAAATTCGTGTAATTACCACAGTCTGGGGCTAGATATGGCTCCAGCTGATTTTCAGAATTCAAAAAAATAGTCACAGCCCGAGGTTCGGTGACTGAGGGATCGCTTTTGTGATTCCAGCCTTTCGATCTTAGGACAATCTGACACACACCTGATGACCTGGACGTGACTTCAAGGGAGGCTGACCAGCTCCCCAAGGTGCCCGTGGGAGAGGCCTCCTCCACCAGTGCTTCTGGCACGCACAAGATTAAAATGAAAAACTTGGCATTCAAATGTCAGGAAGCTAAGTATAAGAGGAATTTAAATAAGTAAATATTCAATGGATGTGTGCTGTAACTTTGTAGCATTTACACTCCTCAAGTTATTAAAGCCTAAAACTGCACGAAGACTTTGGGGGTACCCCTGTATCCCGGAATTAAATGACAAATAGCGCAATGTGTGTGGCAGACAGAGATACTGTTTTATAAAATTTCTGGCGCGTTGTGGCTTTATATATGGGGATGTAATTTAAAAAAAATTTTTTACTGGAGACTTCATGAAGTTTGGAAAGCAGTGTGGGGTTGGCCATGAACTGGTTTCTGTCTGTGCAGAAAACCCCTTCCTTCGGAAGATGCCCCTTGAAGCCCGTGGGCCCGCTGGGCACCAACTACCTCAGGGCGGCCAGACCCCCTCCCACAACAGACTGCTCACACCCCACTTTGCAAGGCCAGAACAGGTCAAGTCCTTGCGGGAGAGCGCAGCGGCTGAGGGCTGGGCCCTGGGCACTGCAGGAAGCCCCCACCACAGGCTTGTTCGGGTTACTTGGTGAACTTTTAGATGACATCACCATAATGGAGCGGAGTCCATGATTAAACAAAACACTGTTTATTGCATTTTGCCCTTATTTTTATAAAAAATGTGTACCTGACAGAAAAACCTAAGTGCTGATACCAGTAATAGGGTGGGCGGGTCTGGTACACAGCGCGCTTGGGACAAAGATGGTCGCACTTCTGGACGTGGCGGCCCATCGGCCTCCCTCCAGCTCTCTGCCTCCAGACGGTGACCGGTGTTCATGACCATGAAGGACGGCAGTACGGGGCAACCCGGTCGTCGGCAAGGCTGCACCTCTGCCCTTCCTTCCTGCAACACGTCCCACCTTCCATCCTGTTCTAGCATGTGCAGTTTTGAAGATATGTTTTCTGGAACACACTGTGTGTCTAAGCAACACAATAGAGGGGCCCCGAGGGCAGTTCGGTGAGCCTGAAGGGCAAAGCGAGGCCACAGAAGGGACGCTAGGCAGGGAGGCTCGCGGCTTCTGCAGTGACTTGCTGGAGAGTTTGGTGTGGTTTCAGGGGAGTATGGGGTGTTGGGAAGCAGGGCTCTGACCAGGGAGATATTATAAGGCAACGAGGGGGCCCCCGGCAGCTTTAAAATGGGAAGAAACGGGAGGAGACCAGCCTTTTGGGAGCAGAAAGTGGAATGGTGCAGCAAGGGCAAGATGGGAGGCAGGAGGAACTCCAAGAAGGGGGTTCAGAGCGCAGGTGAGAGATGTCAAGCCTGAACTGGGAGGTGAAGGGACTCTGGCCTCCAGCTCAGTGTTTATTGAGTCAATCAGGGAAGGACTGGCTGGCCCTGGCTGAAGGCGATCCCCTGGGGCTCTGGAGGTCTGAATCCCACCTACCCTTGGCTTACTTCCCCACAGCGCTGGGCTAGGACCACGCCTGGGGCAGCACGACCCGACCACTGCTCAGAGTGCTGACTGCAAGCTAGGGAGAGGCGATCACTGTGGATTTCTGGTCAGTGCCCTCGGTCCTGAGCGTGCTGCAGGGTACCCTGTGTTGTGGGCTGAACTGTGTCCCTTCCCACATTCACACGTTGAGCTCCAAACCTCGAGTATCTCAGACTGTGAATATGTTTGGAGAGAGCGCCCTTGATGAAGGAATTCTGTTAAAATGAGGCTGACGGGGCGGGCGGTTGAGGGGGTCCCAGCTCCATCTGACTGGTGTCCTTTTAAGAGGAAATCTGTAAGAAAGGACACAGGCGAGAGACACCAGGGGTGTGTGTGCTCATGGAAAAACCCCTTGACACGGTGAGAAGTCGGCACCTGCGCGCCAGGGACAGAAGCTTCGGGGGAGAGCGGCCCTGCCCACATCGGGACCTTGTAGTTCTGGAGAAAAGAAATGTCTGTGTTCCGAGCCGCCCAGTATGTGGTACGCTGTTCCGGCAGCCCTAGCAAACCGATACACCAAGCTCTAATGAAAAAGTAAGTGGGTTTTGAGAAAACCGTGAATTGGCGACGCCCTCTGGGACCGACAGCTGGTGTCATCCCGGCTGGTCCCCGGAGCAGTCTTGCGCTGGGACCCAACCCCTCACCTCACTGACCAGAGCCCACAGTTTAACTTCACATGTCCCGGGACACGTCTCCAATTCAGCCGTTTCCTCCAGTGGAGGGATGGCTCGGGGTGGGGGGTG